AGGAAGGTTTTTAATATCACGAAAAGCGTCAGAGATTTGTTAGTACATTCCAGGCACCAGAAATTTCCAGTCCAATGACAAATTTCCATGTCAATGACCTAAGGTATTTAGGATAGCAGCAGGAAGTTTTTCCTGAATTGTGAGTGGTCCATACAGCCTTGTTGATTGACTTTCCTAGTGTAATATATATGCGAATTGCATATTCATTTGTATATGTATATGATATAGATATGGAGCCATCTTGGCAATGTTTTACATCTGATTGAGCTATACTCTGTGATGGAAAGATAACATTTCTTGTTACACAAACACATTCCCCACATTATCCACCAGATGGCCTCGTTAGAAATCATTCTGAAAGTAAAATTCTGACTAGCGGGATTTTAATTATTGTTGCTCGTTTCGTTTTATTTGGGAGAATGGAGGGATGTTATTTTTGTTTCTGTGAGGCAAAAGGTTTCATTGTAGCTTGGATTAACCATAAGCCTGTTATGTAGCTGAGGATGATTTTGAACTCCTGACCTCCTACTTCTATCTGTTCCACTTCCAAGTGTTGTGATTACAGGCAGATGCCACCATGCCTGGCCTGATCAGTGTTAGTAAACTCAAACATTAAATCTAGATAAGCCACAGATATGGAGAGATAACAGAGAAATAGAAGGAGTTACATACACCATTAGAGGGCACTTTCGTAATTTTAGAAGTCTGTTCTTAGAGGTTGGCTTAGTGAGGCTTACTCTAAATAGGAATGCATTTCCAGTTGTTCATTTAAGGTGGCTAATTCCTCACGTGTGCCATGAAAGCAAGAGTACTATTTGGAGGAAGGAAGGGGCCAGGAGGATGGGAAAAGGACATGGAGAGGCCTTGAATGAGCACAAAGACTAATGATACATAGGAGTGAAAACATGGAAATGAGATCTATTGCTTTGTAGGCTAATTTAAGAAAACTTTGAAGTAGCTAATTCTTAGAATGAACACATGGGTTAAAGACACCATAAAACTTTAAGACCTCCATTTAAACAGTTTCTGAATGAATCTGTTTTGATCAGTGAGTATAAACTATGAATGGAAAAACTACATATTGTACTTGCAAAGTACAGTTTAATTACTTTTGTTGCTTTCTCAAAACACATTCTGTTAAAAACAAATCCACTCAATAATCTGTTACAATGTTAACAATGGTCAGCCTGACAACCTAGTTCAATCACTATAACAGAAATGGTTCAAAGAGAAAATCTACTCCCCCAAATTATCTTTTGACCTTTGCCATTTGAGTACACAAATGTCACGTGCATACTCTCCCACACAAAATCAAAAAATAAATTTATGTTTCAGATGTTGAACTATAGTGTGATATAATAAAAATTCCGCTGTTTTGAGGTTATGCAAATTTTAAACACTTCTCTGAAAAAAAATCTGCCTTGCTCATCACAATTGGCATGACTATTATGATGACTGTCAGAAATTAAAAGCATACCTAATGCGATTTTTATATAAGGAAATATGATATTTTGATAAATAAAAAAAAGAGGAGTCTGGATGAATGTGATTAAAAGAGGCAGCTAAGTTTAGGGAATCCTCATCTTCGACAATGTGCAGTGATTATTCTCACTTTTGTATCCCAAAGCTTCATCCTCCAAGGATGTTCAATTGACAAGTCAAGCATCTTTTATCCAAAAGTAAAAACTTGGAAATGCTCCAAAAATATATAGTTTTTTTGAGCCCCAGAATGATTTCACACATCAAAAATTCCACAAAATGAACTTTACTTCATGTGCAAAATTGCTAACTTATCATATGAATTTACCTTTGGGCTATTCCTGACAGTCATGGTGTACTGGTTTTCTCCATCTGGGGCTTTCCTAAATACTCCAAGGCATTGAATGACCTAGTGGGGTTGAGTCACGAAGTGGAACTGTATAGTTGACAGCTTTATGGACAGACAGGGAACCTACTGAGATATGCTGCCTTGGAGTAGCCAAATTCCCACCATTCTGAAGAGACTTAAACAATTGTCTGGCATTTCCTCTTAGGAGGCAAAGTTTGGGAACAGTACTACTCCAAAAGGCATGACCAAATATGTTTTATTTGGTTAAAATATCAAGTCTTCATAAGCACATTTATTGCATTCTTAGAAAATACCAAATGCTAGCCAGATTTTTCACTTTCTTTCACCTCAGGCAGTAATGGGGGAAAAGAAAGAGGACAAGGTACCTGTTGAGCTCAGCTCACCGTGTCCCTGCTTGATAAGATGAAGTTGGTTGGTTGGAACCTCTAGCTCACTTATACATGGTCTGAGAAGCTCCTACTCCCTCTCCCTCTTCCCCTCCCCCCCCACCAAACCCTGCCCCCTCAGAGAATCTCCAACAAAGAAAAGGCACCAAAAATCCCAGTTCTGTATTCTTGGCAGCTGCAACAGCTCCTCCCCTGAAGTTGCCAGCTGCCCAAGTCCTGCACCCCAACCCCACTGAGTTCAGTTTTTGACTATATTTGGTTGGGCACAAACCCAGCTTGTGGCAGACATGTCATCACCCCTCATCTATAGGCTATACAAGCTCCCTGCCTTAGTTTTTGGCCTGTGACTTTCTCCTCCCTCAATCTGTGGCACTGGAAAACCCACGCGGGAGTGGTTTTGCTCAAATAAACTCGTTCTTTTACTTTTCAATTCAGCTTGACCTGGCTTATTGCATCGGTGGAGAAACCTATTACCACTACAAAAAATAAATTACAAGTTACTTGAGTTTTAACTTTGGTTTGTTCAGATAACTCTTGGAGACTTCTGTCAACCTCACTGTCCTTTCTAGTTCTCTCTGGCCAGCACCCGATTATGTGAAAGACTTTCTGAGGACACCCAGGGGAACCTGGCAACTTTCTAAGTGCACGCTGATCCGGATGATGAATTTAAAGCTCACTAACAGGCTCCCTCCCCATCCATCTGTGGAGTTCAGGGGCCACCTAGTCCAGTTCATGAGAAAGCTGAGTTTCAGAATGTTCATTTGAATTGCTTAAAATCATATGTCTCTTTAAAGGCAAAAACTACATGCTAGCTTTCTCAGGTCTCTCTCAAGTTGTCTTTCAATTTCAGGGCAACTAAGTAGGGATGGAAGATGAAAACCCACAGCTTTCTTGAGAGATGCTGCCAAGGGCAGTTGCTGCAGCTGATTCCACCTGCAATTGGATGCCCTAGAGAGCTGTGCAACTGAGGTTCCTTTTGTATGATAACAGTACCTGCCTCACAGTAAATAATGATTCTGACCAACGTTGTAACCCAGTGCAGGCCTAACTTTCACAATGTTTGCTAAATATAGTAAGGCAGTCAGCAAAGGGGGCTTGCATGCAGTAACTCCATCACTGCAGATATTTTCAGTGGGAACACATACAAAGAAGAAAAAAATAGAAGTTTAAGTGAACTTTTGAGCACAATGATTGTGAAAAGATACTCATGTCATCATTAAAAAGTTTATCGCTTTCAAAAATCATTTTTGATATCTACAACTTTAAAATTTATTTGCATGTGTGCCTCTGTGTGTGTGTGTGTGTGTGTGTGTACAGGTGCACGCGCGTGTGCGTGTGTACATGTGTACGAGTGAATTCCACATATGTGTGGGTATTCCAGAAGATGAGAAGACCCATTGGCATTGGACTGGTGTTCCTGGAACTGGAGTACAGGTTGTTATGAGTTGCCCTATGTGGGTGCTGGGAACAAAACTTGGCTTCTCTAGAAGAGCAATAAACCACTGAACCTTCTCTCTTTTTTGATGATACCCCAAAAAAGACAAAATTAAAGGCAAACTATGTTTTAAACCAAGACCAATTAGTCAGTTTTATAGTAATAGCCTTTTTAAATGATCCCCTTAAATTCACATTATTACAGAAATTGGTATTTGACTTTCTCACTATGGAAAGTACTTAAGTGTAATATCATTGTAATTTTCTAATACTTGAATGCCTGGGAAATAATGCTTTACAAAATTTCATAAGGAAAAAAATAGAACCATTCATCAGAGGAATAAAACCTCACTTAACATGTCAACTCTTGTGCCTATCGAGGACATTCTACAGAAAACTGAATCATGAGGAAGACAGTGTACTTGACAACAGCCTTGTATGTGTGAAGTAGTAGAGGATGAGCCTTTGTTACTGATAAGAACCCATTATGGAAGTCAATGATAATGCCACAACATAACTCAGTTGGAAAGATCCTTCAAAAAGTTAAGACCAAAGGCTTAAAGGTCCCAGTGACTTTTTCTACAGCTGGCATCTGAGGCCCAGTTTCTGTTATGCAAATTTGTATGCAAATGTGCTTTTGTTAGTTGTAACAATCAGACATCAATACAATAACTCACTTTATGACTTTGAACAAATTGTTTTACAAATGATGGAATTAAACATTTCAATCTTTAAAAAATGCCTAATTTATGAAACTTTAGTATTGTAAGTAGCATATTATACAAAATTCTGAGTCAACAGTTGAGCAAGAATTTTTAAAAATGTGTAAAATACTTCCACCTTCCAGTGGGTCTCTATGACTTAGGCTGAATGTTCAACCGTGTCAGTGACTAGTAACTTTGCTGCTTAGCAATGATTATGGCTACACTTGAGTGTACATTTTGTAAAACTTGAAAGAACTGATGTTTGGTGGTTCTCCAAGCTTCCAGACACTGACAGGACTTCCTCAGTAAGGATATTGGCTTCTGTCATTATGAAGTTCTGGTTTGCTTTCTTAGGATCCAGGGAAGTCAATGAATCAAAAGTTATTTCATTTCAATATATTTTTTAATGTCTGAGATGCCAGTAAATCTGTTCTCAATATTATGAAATAGTTTGAAGGAAAAAAATGAAACACAGGAGAATCGTTTCAAAATTGTGTGTGCATATCCAAAACACATGCTGTGTCACTGATTCTGTCTAAATCAAGAGTACTGACCCCTCAGGAAGTTTCCTACCTGACCCAGTGTCTGCCTGCAGAACTAACTGAAGCCCTTGTCATTTGTGTCCAGGATGGTGCTGCTCCACTGGTGTCTGCTGTGGCTCCTGTTCCCACTCACCTCAAGGACACAAAAGTTGCCCACACGAGATGAGGAGCTTTTTCAGATGCAGATCCGAGATAAGGCATTTTTTCATGATTCGTCTGTGATCCCAGATGGCGCCGAAATCAGCAGTTACCTCTTTAAAGACACACCTAGAAGGTATTGTTGCCACAGTGCTTGCTTATGAGTGTCCATAAAAACGGCTCCACAGAAAACTCAAATGGAGCTTTGAATGTCAGCCTATGAGCAGCATTGTGTATGACTATGTGTGACATGTAGGATCACCCTGAAATTGCTTCAACACGTATGGTTCTTCAAGCATTTCCATTTATGGAAGGATAGTACAAAGAGACAGGATGAAACTCTGAGAGAACAAAATTGTGAAAAAAAATGACAGTAATCATTCTTTCACTCCACTTTAAACAGCTAGGCTTCCATAGTGTTTCCAAATATGTGTATCTTTAAAAGTTACACCCATATGTCACAGAAATGACATACTACAATGATTATATTTAAGCTGCCATGCTTTTAAATCTTCTGCCATTCATTGTTAATCTTTTGAATTTTTACAAAAGCAATTTGTCCTTCTAACTTGAGATAAATTGGCTTTCCATGACACAGAGTTGTTCCACAGCTCTAACCCACTTTGCAAAGACTAAGGGATCTTCATGTCATCTTTTCATTTGCTTAATACACTCCTCAGGCTGTCTTGTCTGCCCCATATCACATGCCATTTCCAAATTCATCTCTGAGTAGCACAGAGAAAAACTTCTATTTTTATTCAGATTCTATCTATTTAAATAGAAACAGATTCTAGATATAATATTCTCAGGCTAGACTAATGAGATTGCTGTCAAGATTCTTGAGTTTAGTTCATTGACTTAGTAATTCATTCATCAGCAAGTCCTTGCTGTATGCAGAAATTTGTACTAGCATGCTAAGCGCAAGGCATACAGTGACATACAGTTGGCCTGGGAGGAGTATGAAATCAAGTAATCACACACATACATATAGCCACAAATTGCAGTTAGTGTGAGATACGGGTAGCAACAGGCCCTGAGAGACTATACGCAAACCTCTTCTGGAATGGAGTGAGGAACGACATTTCTGAAGAAGCAGGATTTAAACATGAGTAAGGCAGAGAGGTGGGCTGTCAAAAACACATTTCAGGAATAGGAAGAGTTTGGGAGACTACATAGGTCCATTGCGGTTATAGAACAAAAAGCCAAAGAGACAGAGACAAGCAAGGATGCTTGACCATGAGATTAGTTAAAGATTTAATTCAATGCTAAAATATAAATCTGTGAAGGGGTTCAGAGCTGAAAAATGTGCATTTCTTAGCATTTTATTTATTTATTTTAATTTAAATTAGAAACAAGTTGAAAATGTGCATTTTATTATATAAAAAAGGTCTGTACATGGCCATGACAGTAATCCTGTGGCTCTTTCTAAAAGCTTAACCTTAGCTTAAACATAAAGGTCTGACAACTACTGTTGTGTGAAGGATACTTCTGAGTTATGGCACTTGGCAAGTGGTACAGGAAGCTTAAACGTAAGAAAGGAACTCTGACATCCATAATGACCTGTTGATTGAGTTTTTCTCTTAGTTTGCGAACAAGAAATTCAACATACTTCACTGACAACTTGTGGTAAAATCTGAAAAAAGGTTGTTCTCATTCTGGTCAGCCAGTGTTTCACCAGGTTCTAGAAAGTTTGATCAGCATGGTTTACAGAGATTGCTCCTGTTTCAGTGGGGGGGGGGGGAAGAATTTGGAAGTAGTAAAATGATTTAGAGGTGAACATCACATTTGGTTAATTCATTCAACAAATGCTTGGATTATTTCAGTGTCTGAATGCATACCAATGAGACAAATGGCTGCCCTCTTGTGTCTGTCAGTCTAGTTGAGGAAGACAGAACATTTAAAGGGAATAAATGGAACACGTAATACATTAGGTGCCAATAAATACTTTCGCAATAAAGTGAAAGAGACACTCATTAGCAAAGAAATATTTTACATATGGAATCCAAATGGTACTGGAGTAGAGTACTGAAGGAGCAGCTAAGTATTCCCAGACTGCTTTCTAGAGGAGTTCTCTGTCTAGAGGGGTGCTCTGTCTAGGGGAATGCTCTGTCTAGACAAATAAAAATAAAAACTGAGTGGCTTTTCTGGTAAGTCTCAATGGTCGTTATTAGAATCATCATAGGGTCTGAACTTTCCCCTAGGTATTTCTTCATGGTTGAGGAAGACAACACCCCATTGTCTGTCACTGTGACACCCTGTGATGCCCCTTTGGAGTGGAAGCTCAGCCTCCAGGAGTTGCCCGAGGAGGGGAGTGCAGACGGATCAGGTAAGGGGTAGGACCCACCAAGCCTCAGACCTCTGGAACGCAGATTTCTGCAAGGAAGGAAAGCAGCCCTGTGGCACCTGTGAAGTTGGAGTCTGAAATGCAGAGATGGCATGAGAAGACATTGACCTTAGTAAAGTAAAAGAGTCAAAAGGGAGTGTGTAATGAGGGGTTTGGGCAGCCTCTGTGTCTGCTATCTGCAAGCCTGTCTGCATAATTGCAGCATCTGAAATCCCAGGTGCTTTGATATCAGTCTCAGATGTTCTGATTTAATTGTTGTGGGGTATAAAAAGCTCCCCATAGGTGGTTTTGAGGCTCAGGCAAGGTTAAGAATGTCTCTACTAAAGTGTGCATTGCAAAGAAGAAGAGAGGCACTTAGCATGGGCTGGAGGGAGAGCTCAGCCATTAAAGGCTAGGCTCACAACTAAAAATATAAGAGAGGCACTTATCAACGTTTAAGGCGGGGGGCAAGTAAGTCAGTAGGAGAAAAGGGTTAGTCACCTAAAGAAGACAGAGAAGGTGGGAAGCAAATAGCTGATAATGGGTGAAAAACAGTGGCTCCTTCTAAGGGCATCTTAGGTTAAAGATAAAGGCCTGCCAGCTGCTCCTATGGGAAGGATGTTTGTGAGATACAGTACTTGGGCAATCCATGAAGGAACCCATGGGGAAGTAGTAAGACACAGTACAGGATCTCTGACCTTAGTGGATGAAATAGTTCTGTTCTTCCCAAAATTCTGGAATAAGTTAGTCTACACACTTTCAATTTGTGGTAATAAGCTAGAAAACAGCCGTTCACTCTGGTCACTCAGTGTTCCACCCGTTTCTAGATATTTTTGCTTACAACTTCATGGTATTGATGTTAACGGTAGCCAAATATACTTTTTGAATAGAAAAAAATGCCTTTAGTTTTATGCCTTCCTCTGTACTACTCCTGGGAACCAATTCTTTTCCACTAACTGGATCCTGCCCCTCAGAAATAATTTAAATTAAGAAAGGCCTTGCTCACATGTGGGCATCACTTTACAATGGTATTTATTTATGAGCAAGAACAGGGGTCAAAACCTAGAGGCTCATCTAGATTCATGTGTATCTGAGGGTATATTTTATTAGGTTAATGGAGAGAAATTGGTGGGAATAACACACCAAAAAGAATGTGTGAGAGAAGAGACTGTGTGGAAGTACAGGAGGAAGAATGGATTCTGTGGTGAGAAATCAGTCACCTTCTTATGTTCCTCTTGCTTCTTCTGGTGCGATTGTCTCTGTTAGAGCTGTGTCATATCTTTGACATGAAGACACGATGTCAGAAAACACAATCAAAGGTTATCGAAGCCGCAGTAGCACTGTCTATGCTTCTCCCTTGTTCTCCAGGTGATCCAGAACCACTTGACCAGCAGAAGCAGCAGGTGACAGACGTGAAGGGTACAGAGTTGTTCTCCTACAAGGGCAATGACGTTGAGTATTTTCTGTCTTCAAGTTCTCCGTCCGGTCTGTATCAGCTGGAGCTTCTCTCAACAGAGAAAGACACGCATTTCAAAGTGTATGCCACCACCACTCCGGAATCTGACCAGCCATACCCCGAATTACCCTATGACCCCAGAGTTGATGTGACCTCTCTCGGACGTACCACAGTCACTTTGGTCTGGAAGCCGAGCCCCACGGCCTCGATGTTGAAACAACCGATCGAGTACTGTGTGGTCATCAACAAGGAGCACAATTTCAAAAGCCTTTGTGCAGTGGAAACAAAGATGAATGCGGACGACACCTTCATGATGGCACCCAAACCTGGTTTGGACTTTAACCCCTTTGACTTTGCCCATTTTGGATTTCCAGCAGACAATTTGGGTAAAGATCGCAGCTTCCTGGCAAAACCTTCTCCCAAAGTGGGGCGCCATGTCTACTGGAGGCCCAAGGTTGACATTCAGAAAATCTGCATAGGAAATAAAAACATTTTCACAGTCTCTGACCTGAAGCCGGACACCCAGTACTACTTTGATGTCTTCATGGTCAATACCAACAGCAACCTGAGCACAGCTTACGTGGGTACTTTTGCCAAGACAAAGGAGGAAGCAAAACAGAAGGCAGTGGAGCTCAAAGATGGGCGGGTCACAGATGTGTTTGTTAAAAGGAGGGGGACCAAGTTCCTGCGGTTCGCTCCAGTCTCTACCCACCAAAAAGCCAGCTTCTTTGTTTACTCTTGTCTGGACACTGTTCAAGTCCAAGTGAAACGAGACGGGAAGCTGCTTCTGTCACAGAATGTGGAAGGCATTCGGCACTTCCAGCTAAGAGGAAAACCCAAAGCAAAATACCTCATTCGACTGAGAGGCAACAGGAAAGCAACATCCATGTTGAAAATACTGGCCACCACCAAGCCCAATAAGCAGGCTTTCCCCTCTCTTCCAGAAGACACGAGGATCAAAGCCTTCGACAAGCTACGCACCTGCTCTTCAGTCACAGTGGCTTGGGTAGGCACCCAAGAAAGGAGAAAGTTTTGTATCTACAAGAAAGAAGTGGACGGGAACTACAGCGAAGACCAGAAGAGAAGAGAGCAAAACCGGTGCCTTGGGCCAGACACCAGGAAGAAGTCAGAGAAAGTCCTCTGCAAGTATTTCCACAGCCCAAACCGGAAAAAAGCAGTGACCACAGAGACAATCAAAGATCTGCAGCCTGGCAAGTCTTACCTGCTGGATGTTTATGTTGTAGGACATGGGGGACACTCCGTGAAGTATCAGAGTAAAGTCGTGAAAACAAGGAAGGTCTGTTAGTTACCTGGAGTGAAGATGTATAGAACTCCAGGAGTGACATGGCATCACTTTGTAAACTGACTACTCTGACGGTGGACCAAAGTTGTGACCTGTGCTTGAAAGGAAAGATACCAACAAGTGTACATTGATGTTTGTATAACATAACCTGGAGACTTGTACTCACACATACCTGTGGTAATTAGGGTCCATCTGTCTGATGCTGGTTGATGTCAAAGGAAGAGGGTGTATGATGTCCACCACCCCTTGCTTTGAGCGTTGCATGAACTGCTTCTAAATTATTTTATTACCTAAAAATTTAAAACCATGCCATTTGTTGCACACATTCACAAATGCAAGTCATTGCTCTCTATAGATGCTAGGGAAAATATACATATATATAAATTATTTTATAAATTCTGTTTTAAATGTTGGTGTTTCTATTATAAGCTATTAAATTCTTTCTCTGTTAAAGTATAGATCTAATCTAAGATCACAATGCCCTCTAAGCAGTAATATTGTTGTTGTAAATTCTTGTTTGTTCAGTAAAATGTTAAATGCTATATGTATCTCATGTAAAAAGTTGATATACATTATATTCATGTACATAAAATTAAGAGTATTAGATTATTACACTGTTCATTTTCCCAAGCAGTACTGTGGTGTATTCAATTTCTTCTTTGTTCTTAAAACTGTGCTTTTCTGTAACTTGGCACCAAAATTTTACTCTTATTTAATACTAGGAAGGAGTATTGCTTCTCTTGACATTTACTGGCATCAAGAACCCAAATATTCAAATCTGGATTTGGGCACCAAGTGGGAGCCAGCCTTTGTGGGATCCAAAGAACCATACTAGACCTGTTTGAGAATAGGACAGGCCAAACACTATCAGCTCGATAAGCAATCATTTTAAACATGTATTTTAAGTGGCAAGTTTGAGATGCTCTAAGTGTATTCCATTTGCTTAAATGTTTGCAAATCTTTTTAGCCACTAGCTAAAGCAACTGAGAACACATTGATTAGAACTTTGGCCAGTCAGAACACAACCAGTGCACCTGCTGCTTACAACACTCACAAAACACTGCTGCTGTTAATTTTGAGTTTTCATCTGTCTTTAAAAGCAATTTAAGTGTGAGATACAAACAAATCTAGCAGATAACATCTCTAGCCTCTACCAGGAAAGCAGGAGCAGGTTTATCCTCTATAGATTTTACTCATATCATCAATCCCAACACAGCATGAGACCACAAGACCAAGATTCAGAAATACCTGTAATTTTTAATCATCTAAAACAATGTGACTTTAGGGGAATCTGTTATGGCACACCATCTCCCGTTCCCATTCACAAAGTTGAGGCGGCTGTAGATGTGGATGCAAGGACACTATTAGATACCTTCTGTCAGACGAAGTTGCCTTTTGTAAAATTCTGACTCTAAATCCTTAAATTCTACAGGTAGAATGGGGGACAGGCACAACTGTTACTCTCTTAGCTGTCTACTGCATAGCAGCACAGCCTTTGCTAGGGAGATTTCACCAACAGCAGCATTGCTGTGGATTATAGGTAGACTGTCGCTGACATGGGGCTATTCACAGTCCCTATGTACTCTGCTTCCCTTAAGAGAAATGACAGTTATGACAGACCCTCTAACTCCTCAGCAGTAACTTTTCAGCAAAACTGGTTCATCCACATAAGGCAGGGATGGCACCTGAGATCATGTTTTGAAAGTTGAATACTACATACCCAATGCTTTATTTAGGCGACTGCCATACAAGGAGAGACTAACAATTAACACCCAAAGAAAATATATTCAGTTATAAATGTAGGACAAACGGCTTCCTAATGTTAGTGAATGACTTGTAATGTTGCTGAGTGACTTGTAAATGGGACTATAGTGAACTAGCTTTACTGAAGCTTTGATGGCCTTAGCTCTTGGGTACTGCCTAACACCCATGAGGTAGGAGACAGGCTGAGCTGATCTACCCAAGTTAGCTTTTCTGTGATGGTGGAGTCTTCATATTCTGGACAAATACAGGAATCCTTTCATGGCCCTAGGAAACTTTGTCTTTTAAACTAAGGAAAATGAAACAGATGTTGTGGAACTTCATAGCAAAGGGGAATCCATGACAATCATGCCCTAGTAATATCTCAAGAGCATCGATGTAGATCAGGGACAAGAAAGAAAGAGCAGTTCACACTGACAACATTAACCTTGCTAATGTGAAAGCAAAACCTGGCCTATGCTAATTTCCAAGTGAACAATAGATACTGGGGGGTAGATGACCACTGCTGTATGTAGACAGATTTGAAAAGAGAGGGTTTCACAGTATTTAAGCTCATTATCTTTACTTTTCAGGTGCAATGACAGAGAAAGAACAGAATGCATTTAAAACAAGAGAAATAAAAATTGAACAGTTTTGTTCAGGTGTAGTGGTATACTTCCTTAATCCCAGCACCCGGGAGACAGAGGCAGGCTGAGCTCTGTGAGTTTGAGATCAGCCTGGTTTATTTAAGGAGATCCAGTCCCACCAAGAGCTACAAGGTGAGCCACTGTCTAGAAAACAAAACAGAACACAACAAAACAAACAACCCCTCAAAAAAAAAACAAAAAACAAAGGTTTTACAATTGAAACAGCTAAGTGATTTACTATGTAGACTTCAAAATCCTACTCAAATACAAATCACCAATGTCTGGTTGAAAAAGAGTCATTTGTGGGTTAGTAATCTTTTAATACCAAACATCTATAAGTTTCTTAAGAATATGTGATCATTTATAACTGATCATTTCAAAATCGTAAGAAAAAATTTTGAAGACAAAGTATTTTTTTTCTTTTTCCTTTTTGGTTTTTCAAAACAAGTTTTCTCTGTATAGTTCTGGCTGTCCTGTAACTTGCTCTATAGACCAGACTGGCCTCAAACTCACAGAGATGGACCTGCTTCTGCCTCCCCAGTGCTGGGATTAAAGGTGAGCGCCACCACTGTCCAGCTGGAGACAAAGTCTTGCTAATGTAGTTTTTTATGCACAAAGTTAAGACTGGAAGTTCAGTATTCTATTTATTAATGGTAAAACCTAAATTTTGTAGTCTAAAATTATAAAGACTCTACAAAACATGTAACAGATTTTTTTGGTTAATTTGTAATCAGAATCTAGATTAATTTTTTGTGTGTGAGTGTTTTACTTGCATGTATATCTGTGCACCAAGTGTAGGCCTGGCACCTGTGGAGCCAGAAATGGGTGTTGGATCTCCTAGGACTGTAGGTGTGGATGGTTGTGAGCCACTCTATGTATATTAGGAACTGAACCTTGGTCCTCTAGAAGAGCATAGCAGGCTCTTAACCACTGAACCATCTATCGAGCCCCTAGATTAGTTATTATTAAACATGCATTTAAAGTTTAGAGTTGAAAAAGGCATGCACAGCCTTAATTTTCGTTGCCCAAAACACATCTGAAGTAACTGTATTTTCCATGTCCTGAAGAGTTAAATAAAGTGATGAGAACTCAGTTAAAACTGATGAATTTTAGAAATTAGGCAACACTTAGTGCTTCTTTCAAATTTTTAAAAATTATTTTACTTCATGTGTATGGGCATTCTATGTGCATGTGTGTGCCTTGTGTCTGCAGAATACAGGAAAGGGCATTGAATCCCTTGGAAATGGAGTTACAGGTGGTTGTGAACTGACACGAGGATTTTGGGAATTGAACTTGGGTTCTCTGGAAGAGCAGTAGGAGTTCTTACCACAGTACCATCTTACCAATCCCATACCTTAATGTTTCTTAATTACTTTTTGTGGGGTGAAATCACACACACAAACACATTTTTGCTTCTAAATTCATTATTAGGTGTGGCTTAATCCAGGATTCCTTCCAGCACTTCACTAACCACTTCTGTAGACACACCAGCACTGCTGTCCACCTTACGACAAGGAAACTGAGACCTACTCAAGACACCAACAGAGGTTCCTTAACGCCCTTCCAACAGATTGCCAACACTTCCATGGAACACCTAGAATGGGCATCCTAATTTACAATGAGGACACTGAGGTCTCCCCAGGACTGGAACCCAGGTTCCTCCATTCCTAACTTAATGCTTACTCAGGACTTGGTTTAAAGCCTGACTTCACTTTAGGAAGTGTACAACAGTTTGCCCGGTTTATTTCTGCAGACCAGATGTCTGAAGCGTGACACAAAACAACCTGGTGGCTGACTTGAACATGCTTTTCTGGGGGTTCACTCTGGTTGCTTCCTTTCCCACTTTGATAGTGTGTCACAGACAAGAGCTGCTGGGAACTTACCTTCAGCTTCTCTCCCTGGGGATCAAGCCAAGGTGACTGCATGCAGATGTCAGCTGTCACTTATTTGTAGTTTTCTGTGTGGCGTGTGAGGGCACATCAACCATTTGTTTTCCCCCAGAGATCTTTGGCAAACATGTATACAGTAGTGTGATATCTGGGCCTTTGCTGTTGGTTTGAAAATGGGAAGTACAAGAGGGAGGAGCAGACCAGAGAGTGAAATACAGAAAGACGGGCAGTTTTGCCTCATTTCCTACTCTGAGAGGCCCAGGAGATGAAAAGAGTAAAAGCTGTAATACAACCTGGTTCATTAAGATTTTGCATGCTACATGCAACTCACAATGGAGATTCTGACCCAAATCACCATCATCTGTTAGAATTAGATCCTACTGACAGACTTGATTGGTTTAATTTCTCCTTACCCCATTCTTTCCAACCTCTGAACATTATTCTTAGTAAACAAAATTGAGGATGGCCTTACAGATCCACCCTGTATTTTCTTTTCACAAACTGCTTTATAATATTATTCCCACCTGCAAAAGGGAGAGGCTTCTGATGCATCTCATAGAAAAATAATTGGCCCAAGATTGAAGAATTGAATCTTAGGCATAGTGACACTGCTTTGTTATCTGTATGTAGGTCTCAGTAAAGACAGGAAGGGGCCAACTTTGGTGGGAGAAAAGACCCTGGATCCCTGTAAAATTCCAGGAAGTTAACATTATTCTGCACTACCATGTCTTCACAATTGGAGGGATTACATCAAGAGACAATTACAGGTAGGGATTCTACTGGAACATAGCCACTACTCACTAAGCTGCCCAGGAGAATTTTGGGAGAGTGGGTGTTTCTGAAACTTGTCAGAAATGTAGTTTTGAGTCTGAACCAGGGACAGATATATAAGGCAACCCACTAGGACAGAGCCTGGCCCCTAAATATCAGGTATGGGGACAGTTTTTGGAGGAGATCAGTGTTGATCAAGGGTGATGGGATGCAGATGACGTGGCCTGGAAAACAAGACTAAATTGAAAATGAGATGTTGAATGAGAGTGCTGTTTCAGGTTGACCCTGGCATAAAACTGGGCTATTTAAGCAGCCATTTGAAATGATAGTCTTGGCCTCCCTCCCTCCCCTCTCTCTGCCTTTCCCTCCCTCCCTCCCTCCCTCCCTCCCTCCCTCCTTTCCTTTCCTTTTCCCCCCTCCCTTCCTTTCTCTCTCCTCCCTCTCTCCCTTCCTCCTCTCCTCTTTTTTCTCTCCTCCCTTCCCCCTTCCTGTCTTTCTACCCCTTTCTCTTTTCTCTTTCTCATGAATATTGCCTAATATTAGTATCCAATCAAGTTAACCACAATTTAGAAAAAAGCAAATATGCAGTTCTCTGTAATTGCTTCTTGATATAATCTCTTCAACTGAGAAAACATTGTAGCATAGGATAATATAAGCAGTTTTTTCAGGGTGAACCTTACAAATCCCGGTGGTGTCTATATTTAATTATTATTCTAGTAGGATTTTGCTTCTGAGAAAAACTATTTATACTAAACAGAACCAAGTACTTAGTACATGGAGCACAAGGGGTTGATTATTTGAGGTGTTTTAGAAAATGTGGTCTAAACTGTCAAGGAGGACTTAGTACAGCAGTACATTTACCACATTGACTGGAATAGTCACACGGTGCTAGACTGACACCCCAAGAACCACAGGGGAAGTTCTGTTCTAAAGATTCCCTCTACATGGGGCTAGGGAAGTAGCTCAGTAGTTAAGAGAACTGGCTGCTCTTCCAGAGGAGCTGAGTTCAGTTCCCAGCACATACATCACAAGTCACAAGTCACAAATCCAGTCCCAGGGGAACCAACGTCCCTTTCTGGCATCCAAAGTCATGCATGTGGTGCGCAGACATTTTGCAGACAAAACATCCATACACATAAAACAAGTAAATTAATTTCAAAAAAGATTCTCTGTATGTGAGATAACTAGATTGCAGCCTAACCACTCGATAGTAATGACAATAGGTACAGGTGACTACAGGCAGTCAATACCACTGCTGGGATCCAATGCTTGGCTTCCAGCAGTGACTAAACCTTAGAACATTTAACGTTTTCTGCATTTTTCAGGAGATAGTAAGAACTTGAGGTGAATGAGACAAACAAGCACATATGTATCTGCTTAAATAAATAAATAATATTCCAGTAGTTTTATTATGACAAGTGTTTTATAAGTCATTTCACTTAGCAGCATTAACTATCTCCCTCTTATGAATGCAAAACTTGTCATTCTGCCTCCTGGCTGTAAGTTACAAGTTGTTGAGTTTCTCATCCTCCCGTCAACACAAGACTCAATGCTCAGGTACGGAAAAATGACAGAAATCTGAAAGCACCGTTCTGAGTCACGACATGAACCACTCGGTTTTGTACAGATCGGAGTGACTGCTGATAGAGCGGTGCTGCAAACACAGCTGTGGACCGAGCAAACTTAGCTGCTCTCAATATCAGACGCTAGTCCATTCGCCACTCCCACATGCAGGCATTGCAGCAGGCCCAACTTGAAGTGGGCAGATGAGTTCTGAGTTCTGGAGAGTTTAGTGCCAAAACATTCCGAATGTTGGTTCCTGCTGTGTTCTTAATGTCTCCAAGGAGTTGAAAATGTTCTTAGATTGCTTATTGCTCTTTATAGAGTTCGTTCCTACTTTCAAAGTCTTGGTGGCTTACCCATATTAAAGAGAGGAAAACATACCTTTATCCCACTGAGACTTCTTTTTTCTGAAGGTATGTGGCTTAGTAGGAGAAAGGAGAGTAGTAGAAATGAAACTTTGGGTATTCTTCCAAGCGTTGGGAACGTAAACTTCCTTATTTGTAAAGTGAGGATGGTGATGATCACCATGTTTCTTTCTGGGAAAAGCAGGGACAACCAAGTCTACATTGAGTGCTAAACATTTGCTCACAGCAACGATCAACTGAAGCCAACATCGCATTCTTGTTTAACAAAATGAAAGAACAAAGAAACTATACTATGTGCCCAAGGCCACAAGGTTAAGACAGAGTAGAACCAGGATATATGATATTCTTCTGGTTCTAACACAGGCATCTCTCTGCCCATCTGTATGCTTATGAGCTGTAGTGCATATCTGTGAGCCAGAACTTCACTGGGATAGGATATTGAGGAGCCAGTTGAAAGAGAGAGGGAAAAATTACCATGCTTGTAGTTTGCCCTGGACATTGGCAGGTTACCTGTGAGATGGAAAAGTGTGGACAACTAGACAAATTCATCATTGACAAGTTGTTGCTGAGCTTTTCATATTGTGTAGAATTTTGCCATACTCTACTGTGTCTTTTGCTACCACAATAAAATGAGATGGTATTTGATTCTGTCTGCTATTCTATAGAATTTTCTGTGATTCTTACATATGCTATGAATGTAATATGCGTTAATAAAGGTTTCTTAATCTTCTTGTCCATCACACACAGCTGTCCGTGTTGCATTTGTTTTTGTCTTACCCTTATGCATATTGCTGTTATTTTTTTTTACTGTGGTTTTTTTCCTACTAGCAAATATTTGGGGGAGTTGCAGGGTCCTCCTTGCAGGCAGAGCAGGGGAAGAGCAGGTCCAGCCTGTCTCTTCCTGGGGGCTGAGCGGGATGGTGACTGTCAGGACTCAGACCCTCTTCCCATTAGTTACCAGGGAGAAAAAACTCACACTAAGTTGGGAGTCTGTCGAAGCAGGATCTCGATTTATTCCCACAGACAGGAACTTATATAGGGCTGAGGTAGGGGATGGAAATCATAGGATAGGATAGGGTAAGGTAATGTGAGGAATAAAGGCCAATAGTATTC